ATGATTGAAAATTATTACTGATAGCTTTTATGCTGATGGCATATACGTATACTAATAATTTTTTTTATAATAGTAATTATACATTTGTATACATTAATAATCTAACGATTTCAGACAATACAACAAAAATAGATTTTACTGATCTTGCCTCTAGACAAAGGGGGTCCATTCAAATAGTCATAATCAGCGGCAATGAAACCTTGAGATTATTGGCCCACTTGATAAGCTTTTATATAAAGATTTAATTAATAAATAATATTCTGTCCATTAAACAATATAAAATATTTTTAATTAAATTTTATTCTCGATAAAATAGTTACTTATCTTTAAACTAGTCCTATATTTTTATATTTATTTTTATTTAATAAGATATTTTACTTTAAAATAAATATAAAATAATTTATTAAATAAAGATACTTAAAAAAAAAATAATTATATCTTAAAAGACAAAGAGTCCATTTAATTTTATCTCATTTAACATTTGGAATGGACTTTTAAACTTTGGAAATGTTAAGAGTTATTTGCGTAATTTTTTAGAGCACAAAATGACTTTCAAAAAGTGGGTTGTAATGAGTTTGAAATGTGAATTTTGAAACTCTATTTTTTGATTAATTTCAAATGTGGGTTTGAAATATAGATGTTATTTTACTTTCTTATTCTTTTATTTAAAAAATAATTAATTTATTAAAAATATAATTATCATTTAAATAATAATAATAATTAGATATTAATTTTTTAACATTATAATTAAATAATTAATCATGCTAATTTTTAACACTAATGTATAATAAAAATTATAAATTTTTGTAACATTTTTATAATAACAAGTTAAAAAGTATAAATAATTAGAGATTAAGTTTTTAGCATTATAGATCAAATTTTATATTATTTAAAATATTTATCATATTTTTTAAATATTTCAAATACATTACATTTATATAATAAAAATTACAAATCATTATAAATCAATGTTCTTTTTATAATTATATATTTAAAAGTATATTTTACTATCATAATCCAGACACCTTACCAAACCAACTTAAAAAAAAATGTATTCAAATATAAATTTCGTTACAACAACTGACTTTTATTAAATTAATTTTTATTAAAAAAATTTTTAATAAAAAAACTTTTAATAAACTGAAATCAAACGCATATTAAAAATATCTTAAATTTTTAACATATAATCTTTTAAAAAAAATTATATTTTTTAATTGAGGAGTATAATATTAGATAAGAATCAAGTGGTTTGATTCTTGGGCCTTTTCTTTAATTAAAAAAGTTCAAATATAAACTTTTTAAAAAAAAAATTCAACGATTAGATTCACATATTAAAATTTAGCCGTCCACCCTTGTCGAGTGAACGTCAAGGACGCAAGCAATTTTTTACTCTTCAATACGAGCTTTCATACTTTTTTTTTTTGAACGAAAGAGCTTTCATAATTTTTTAATTCGTAATTATTTGCGTAGCTTTCGATTTTGTTTGACCGGAGTGTAATTTTCAATTGTATACGTACACTTTGGCCAAAAAAATTGTATGCGCATATTATGCGGATGGCCTATTTTATAGTCAAAATTATAGAAATTATATCAATAAATTTATACTGTGGCGTGTGCCTTGGATCACGGAGTGGCCTTTCTTTTTTTAGTATTTCCTCTCATTTAAATCCCCTCCAGTTGGAATTAGTGAATTTAGGTGAAGCTTTCCATTTTTAATATTTCCCCTCATTCTATTATTTTCTTTAAACTATAAAATCTCTCATCTCTTTCTTAAAAAAAATTACTGAAATTAATCAATTTTAACTTCAGAAGATTTAAATCCAGAAACAGAAACGGTTATGTTGGTTGGCTTGCTCATAATGCTAATTGTAAGACGTTCAACAATTTTACACGATCCCCCTTTTAAATGCAGAACTTTTCTAATATCTAATATAATCTAGCTTGTTATCATTTTGAACTACTTATGCCATGGTTTTGTGTTAAAAAAAAATTCTGGATTAACCTAATAAGGGATTGTTTTTGCTTAACCAATGACCTCAAAGTAAAGTCGGAAATAAAGGCTAAGCTTAAAGAGTTAGGTTTGAAGGTCCTGTTTAAATAAAAATTCAGACTTTAGAAATTAAATTTTTTAAATAATCAAGCTTAAGGGCCTAATCTTAATAAGCTCTGTGAAAAGAGCTCAGACCTAATGACCTTTCAAGCTCTAATAAGTTGGGTTATTTTATATATATACAAACTTACATACATATATTTGACTAATAATGACATAGTTTAGTTAATATTTATTGTAGATGATGAAGAAGAAATTGTAGAGATAATTAATATTAAATTTTCACCTCCTTCTTCAATAAGTGGACTTACATTTGCAGGATCGAATTTACATTGACGTTAAATTCAAAAATTTAAATCATTATCAGATTTTATGTGAGAATTTAATTTATTTCATGTTAAATTTTAGATTATTCTATTTAATTAAAATGTTGAATTTTTTTTGGGAAAGAGGGGTTAAGGGCTTAGCCTTAAGCTCTATAAATAATGGTCGGGTCCCAAAATTAGATCAAATTTTGAGTAATTGAGTTTTAGAACCTAAGTCCTTAAACATCAAGTCCACCCTAATTCTCACCTCTACCTCAAAGTCTTGAATTCAAACCTAAAAAATGTAACAATGTTAAAACTTTGTGGAAGACTTGAAGAATAGATCTAGACTACATGCAGTAGATTTGGTGCAGTAGATGGAAAGTGAGATGATCCTAACCGTTCATTATATTTAATGGCTTGGAAGAGAAGGGCGCACAAAACATTTTATCACTTGCAAAGTTGGCCCTTGCACAATCAACGATGGGAGCAACAGTTGACATTAATTCCATCTTCACTTTGAGGGGACTATGTTCCTCAAATGAGGCATAGGGGAGAGGGAAGGAGACGGTAGGGTAAAGAAAATTATTAAAATTTTACTGAAATAGTAAAGTGAATTAATTGAATGCTAACTATAATTAAAACATGTGAGTTGGAATATTATTTTTATTTGCCAAAAACCGTAAATGATATGATGGTTCGGGTATATACAAGAATTTCTCTGCAAATACATGTTACATGGTACCAAGCCATTGACTTTTGAGAGAATGAGAATTAATTAATGAGGATTCGACAATTACCATATTTGCTTGTTTTTCACCAAATTTTCACCGGATTCTCCTACATGTGAACATCAGGGGAGGCTCATATGGTGTGTAGTTTGAAATAATCAAGAAAGCCACATGACAAGCTTAACCTTGTGAGAACTCTAATTTAATTGTTAATATAAACACTCCATTCAGATTGCTCTGCTTACTCCCATTAAATATTTTGAGAAAAATACTTATATTTAATACTCCCTTGCACCTTCTAAATATATATATTTTTCCCTTAACATAAGAATCTTGATGAGATATTAATTATATTTTTTCAATATCATTCATATTAAAACTCTTTCACTATGAGAAAGCATGCAATATAAATTTAAAAATTGTTCATTTAAATAGTAATAAGATTAAAAGTTTATTATGTTTTCAAACATGATATAACCACTATATCTTGATTACGTTGAGATAGTTAATAGTGCCTTGTAATAGCAATCAGGGAGTGTCTCATGTTTTTCATTTCAAAGAAAATTTCATATTCAACTTTTAAACTGATTAAAACCAATAGGGTTTGAGTTAAGTGGAAAGAGTTAATCTCTCATAATGTGATAAATTAATATTTAAATTTCATGAGAAGACATGCCCATTTTATTGCTCGATTGCAATTCAAACATGATTATCTTTAGAGTTAAAAATTATTTTTGTCTTTGAACTATATAAAAAATATTACAATGATCCTAAACTCAACTATAAATTAATTTTATTCATCAATTTTAAAAATTTCTTTCTCATTACCCTACCATTTTTTAACCTTTATTGGGCCCTTCATTATATTTTTTTATTATAAAATATTTGAGTTAAGGATGTCAATTAACCCTTCAAATAAAAGTTAAGGAACAAAAGTAACTCTTAACCAAATAAAAAATATTAAAAAATAGTGAGTTTCACTGATAACTAACAGATGTTAAATGTTTTTAACGTTAGGGTGATGACAGAGTTAATCTTTAAAGTTTATGAATAAAATTGACCTATAATTAACTTTAGGATTATTTGCAATCTTTCATATACATATCAAAGATAAAAATAACTATTAACCCTTATTTTTAATAGGAATATATTTTTGAGTAATAAAAAAAGGAAAAATTAATTTTTTAATCCCCTAACTTTTAACTCGCTTGTAACTCAGTTCCTCAACTATAACTCGCTATGACTCAATCCCTCAACTTTTGATTCACCTATAATTTGATCCTTATTTTTTAATTTTTTTTAAAAATTTTTTATCAAATAAGAGGGATAAAAAATATTCATATATTATTCTAAAATATCCTCCTCTTGCTCATTAATTTGATATCTAAATTAACATGAAAAAAAAATTAACAAAGTTGAGGGACTAAATTATAAGTGATTTAAAAGTTGAGAGACTGAGTTATAGGCGAGTCATAGTTGAGGGACTGGGTCACAGCGAGTCATAGTTAAGGGACTGAGTTACAAGTAAATTAAAAGTTAGAGGACTAAAAGACTAATTTTTCCTAAAAAAAATAATTTCACATTTAATAACTCAATTAAATTGGAGTTTGGATTTTAAAAATTATCATAAATTATTATCACATTATTTAAAAGAAAACTAAATTTATTTATTTATTTTTTTGCCTTCCATGTTGAATTAAATTTGGTATCTTTGAGGTATGAATGACAAGAAACAGGAAAGATATAGACTTGAGTGGTCTTCTCACGGAAGGACTGCGGACCTCGTCTCACTTCACGACCTTTTGTACGTGTCAGTGGCTTCGCCGTGCAGCGTGCTCCCTCGTTCCCACGAGTGCCCAATAAAACGGCTCCAATCCAATTCCTTACTTCTTCATAAAAGGCGGCGACGCCCTCTGCCTCTCTTACTCAATCCACAACGCTTTTTCGCTTTCTTCTTCTTTGTCGTCTTCCTCTCTCTCTCTCTCTCTCTCTCTCTAATCTTCGAAAGCCCATAGCGAAACCACCCAGAACTCAAAAATCCCATGGAGGTTAAGCGTCGAACGGTTCGCTCCCTTGTGGGGAAGCTGAGCTCTGTTTCTGAGCAGCCCCAGCTCGATGCTCTCCGCCAGCTGCGCTTGATGACCAAGCAGGACGAAGAGGCCCGACCCGTGATCGTTGATTCGGGTGCGATTCCCTACTTGGCTGATAATCTCTTGTCGTCTTCGCACGATTTCCAAGAGAACGCCTCGGCGACGCTTCTCAACATCTCGATTTCCTGTAGAGAGTCCCTCATGTCCACACGCGGAGTCCTCGATGCCATCTCTCACTTGCTTACCCGCCATAACTTGACTTCGTCTGCTCCCGCTGTCCAATCCTGCGCCGCCACGTTGTACAGCCTCCTCATCGTCGATAACTATAGGCCTATCATTGGTTCCAAGCGTGACATTGTGTACGCGCTCGTGGATATTATCAAAACCCCCAATTCGCCGATCAGATCGATCAAGGACGCTCTCAAGGCTCTGTTTGGAATCGCTCTTCATCCGCTTAATCGGTGCACGATGATACAACTTGGTGCGGTTGAAGCTCTTTTCTCGTTGGTTCAGAAGGACCGGAAGGTCGGGATTGTGGAGGATGCGACGGCGGTGATTGCGCAAATCGCGGGCTGCGAAGAGAGCGAGGAAGCGTTTCAGAAGGTGTCGGGAATCGGTGTGCTGGTTGATCTTCTGGATATGGCGAGTAAGTCAAGCATGAAGACGAAGGAGAATGCTGTCTCTGGATTACTGAAGCTAGTGAGATGTGGAGGGGAGAAAGTAGCCATGGATGTGAGAATGAGAGCTTTAGGGGCATTCGATGGAATTGCGGACGTGCAAGTGAACGGAAGCACCAAAGGGAAGAGCAAGGCGGCGGCGTTATCGGCGGAATTGATCGGAGATGGAAACCATTGGAATGCACAGAGGGATTCCCGGTTTGATTCCTCAACAAGTCAAGATTCATCATTTTCATTCAATTTCTCGACAGATTCATCAGAATTTGGTGTGTAGGACCATATCTTTCAAGTACTATTATTGATTGACTATTCATTTCATATTTTTCTCTCAATTTTTGTCTTATCAAATTAGTTTGATAGATAATGTACAAACCAGTACAAGGTACTGATTCGTTCTGGTCTAGTTAGGCTCTACTGATCAAGTTATCTGTATTGTAAACGTAACAAAAGGTCAGATATTAATCATATATGAAAAAATTCGGTTTGCCTCATACTACTCTGTTCAGTGTTCACCCTGTTTTATGCTGCTGAAGATTTGTTCTTTATTACTTTGATTTTGATTGCAAACTCTTGTTAGGTCTATAGTTCTGATTTAATCCCAAAAGATCTGTGCATCAACAGCTCAAGGTGTGTGAATCAGTGCACTAATTCTCTGACCTTCGTGCTTAAACTGGCATGCTAGAAATTTGGTGCTTTTCAACAGCTGAAGTCTTCCACTTTTGAGAAATCCAAGCTCACTCAGAAATATTGAGTAGTCTATTAGTGAATCAAGATGACTTACTGTGTGGGAGGACTACTTGAGAGCAACAATCAACCCCACAAATACGTTGGAAGACATGCTGTGACTTTTTATGATTACACTAAAATGCTAGAAATGGGGTTCAGTCAAATTTGTCTGTTTCTTGTTTAGTTGCTGTGGGAGTGGCTACTGGCTAGGCCTAGGCCCCACCGTCACTGTGAGTTGGGTTCACTATATACGTACATGTGTAAGTGAAATTGCGCGTTTATATACTAAAAGTGTGGCATTTCACTATTTGGGTACTACCAGTATTGCCTGCTTCTTGAAGTGGATTGGATTACAGGAACAAACTTGGATATAATCTATGACTGCTAGATCCTCATTTTATAGTAGAAACTTTTGAGTCCTGAGACCAGAAGCTGAAGGCTGGACTGTCTACTTGTTATTACATCACTAGTTTTGATAGGCCATCAATGGATCAATCTTTTGCATGAAGATGTGAGTAAGCAATGGGCTGTGTTTCTTTCTTTCTTCTTTCTTTCTTTGAATTTCTTAAGGATATCTAGCACGAGTACTAGAGGCTAATCCCTTGAAAAATTAAAATAGTGATTTCCATTTAAGCAGCTGGTCTCTCTCAGCATATGCTATTTCATGTACATGGCCTAGGAATCGAACTCTGTTAACATGCTTTAGGGACCTGGATAATTTGGATATTCTTAATTGTGTTTTTCTAAAGAAAAAATTACATAGGTTCCACACAAAAAAATTAATTACTACAATATTTATTAATTGTCAATAGCTTAGTTCAATAGTTAATAGACTTTATAGTAATTAATTTCTTAGTGTGGGATTTCAACCTAATTCTCCCAAAAATTTAAAAATTTGAAGATGTATTTTCCTTATATGATACTCCCTCCATTAAAAAATGTAAGGCATTTTTGACTAAATCTTATCTCCTATTAAAATATTTACTTACTTTCAAACTAATTTTATCTTTTCATATTCACCCTTATTAAACACCCTACAATAAATATAAAATCATTATCAATAGAGTCACTTTCGAAAAAAACAATAATTATATTTTAAAAGATTAAAAATACCTTATATTTTTTAACATTAAACTTTTTAAAAAATATTTTATATTTTTTAATAAAAAGAGTATTAAATAAATCATAGAGATTTTATTTAAAATTGAATGAAATTATAAAGATTGAAAGAGTGGATGGACTGAAGAAGGCTAAGACAAACATAGCTGTATGTGATTGGATCGATGGACTGAAGAAGGCCAAGACAAACATAGCTATGTAAATTCTTGGGTTGATGCAGATTGCCAAGAATAGTTTTGGACATGGAAGTGTGTTAGATTGGAGGTGGGTCCCTTTGAACAAATGTGTCAGAAATTCTTGCATGCTTTTTTGGGATTGACTCAATCTACTTTGTCTCAATGTGGTAGGGTCCGTCTCTTTAATAACTGATAATTTTTTTAGGGACAGATTCTCCTTCCTGTGAAATTGACCGAAAGCTGCAACTGAGCACTATTCATTGTTATTTTATAAGAATTTAAAAAAAAATGTCAGAAAAATCCCTAGAATATGTAAACAATAGTAAAGCCAAAAAAAAATTATTCCCTTCGTTTAAAAATATCAAATATTTTTTAAAAAATTAAATATTTAAAAATATAAAATATTTTTAATTTTTTAAAATATAATTATTATTTTTTTAAGTGCTCCTATTAATAATAACTAGCCACAATCCCGTGCATCGCACGGGTATACCTGATAAAAAGAATTAAATTTAAGTAATGATAATATAGTTAATATAATTATAGTCATAATATGTGGCATGTGGTGAAGAAAGAAATGTGATAATACTTAACAAAAACTATTGTATTTGGCCACAAAAGAGTTCAATAAGGAAGTCATTATTTACTACATAAGCAGCAAAAAAAAACAATGTTCATAAACAAATCATGCATTTATAGCTTGAAGGTTTTGAAAGATCTCATAAAAGACCACATTGGTAGTGGTTGACTTAGCTTGTTTATCAATGTCATGAATCAATATTCTCAACCCATTTATGCTTCTGACTCTAGAAAGTGCAACATACAGTTGGCCGTGTGTGAAAATTGGTCTTGGCAGATAAAGACCAACATTGTACAATGATTGGCCTTGACTTTTGTTTATTGTCATTGCAAACGAAAGAATGATTGGGAACTGTCTTCTTTGCATGCGGAAAGGCCATCTATTTTCAGAAGGATTCATATCCATCCTATGTATAAGAACCTTTTGATTTGGGCTTGAACCATTAAGTGTCACTGCTTCAATTACACATTTTCCAAGCTTTGTGATTCGCAATCTTGTACCGTTACATAATCCCGACGCTTGGTCAACATTCCTGAGAAGCATTACCGGTGCACCAATCTTGAGTGTAAGTTTATGAGGAGGTAGACCAGAACTATTAATTGTGTTAAGGAACTCAGTAGTGTAAAGATCCTCGAATGAGTCACTTTCTTGTGATGATCTGCAAACAGAATCACAACTGAAATATTCTACCGATTCACCAGGCAAAATACCACACATGAATTCATTTATCTGGTTAACGCACTCAAGAGTTGGTGCAAGGATTGCCCGATCATTGAAATATGCTGTGTTGGACAAATTATCCAATAAGTCTGGGTATGTAGATGACACAATTGCAACCAAAGGATCCTTGTATGAAGTAATCAATATCTCTGATGGAATTTCAATATCTACAATGCCATCATTTGATTCTCCAACCCTGCCATCTCCAATATCTAGTAACCATTGTGAGAATTTCTCTATTTTTTCACGATCAGAAGAGGATGAAGATGATGTCAACCGCATGTTCTTCATCAATTTATATATTTTGCAATAACTCCACAAGTACGAAGAACTTATGGATGCATTGACAATATCTGCCCTGCTACCTTTAGGAATTACAGGTAGAATTTGACGAAAATCACCTCCCATGACTATAGACTTCCCTCCAAATGGTAGATCACAATGCATTATATCTTTGAGTGAGCGATCAAATGCTTCTATACAATGGCGACGTATCATTGGAGCTTCATCCCAAATGATTAATTCTGTTTGTTGCAACAAATATGCAAGTGGGGATCTCTGGCTGATGTTACAGACTGAATCTTCATTTATATCAATTGGGATTGCAAATCTTGAGTGTGCAGTTCTTCCTGATGGTAACAAAGTAGCTGCAATTGCACTTGATGCAATAGCAAGAACTATCTTCCCTTTAGAGCGCAATGTTGTAGTTAGAGCATTCCATAAAAATGTTTTACCAGTACCTCCATAACCATATACAAAGAAAAAGTTACCAACATGTGAAGATGTAGAGGCAATGATACATTGGAAGATCTCTTGTTGTTCATCAGTCAATAATTGTAATAATCTCTCAGATTGATCTTGTAATGCAACTTTGTCATAATTTAATTCTTGCATGATCAAATGATTTTCAAAATTTAGAATTGGAGAATTCTTAGGCTTAGGAAGAGAAGGATAGTGAGAAAGGCTTTTTCCATTACTTTGTAAGAGTGAGAAAGGCTTTTTCCATTACTTTGTAAGAGTGATTTTCAAAATTTACTGGACTTCTGCACTCTTTTTCAAATATTGCTTCCTCTTTCCTTTTGGCAATGGAGGAGGATACAGCTGAGATATAGTCATTTCATCAAGCCCAATGTCCTGAGACATTATTGGTTCAACTTTGGAAAGAGATGAACCCATAGTTGTTTCTTCATGACTATTCTTAAAGTCTGAGGCTGTTGGAACCACCTGCAATAATCAAACACACACAAAGGCACTCCTAAATCATTCATTGCATAAAAAAAACTTTTCATAGACCATAACTAATATAAAATATAAAATTGCATTTCATTATACCTCATTCACTCCCTCTTTAACTATAGTACCCTCTAAGACCATAATAGCGTTGCCTGAATTGGTACCCTCCTAGAATGTAAATTTTTTTAAAAAACCAAACAAAATACAAAATAATTTAGCACAACATGTCAGTTATTGAATAAACTTTTAAACCATAATAGCTATCAATTGTTTCACCTCTACTGAAGCCTCTTTAAATTGCTCAAGAAGGTCTTGACATGCTGTGTATTGAACCACACCAATGCTAGAGTTAGGATGTTCAAGATTGTAGCTTGTACGCTTTAGCTTGAGCAGCATTTTTCTCCCTACCACATCTTCAAGCTCATCTGGGAAGGCATATGAACGATTTTCCTAGCATTCAAGGATAAGTTAGACAATATGTGGTTAAATTTTGGAAAAGATAGAGAGATGAGTGCTAAGAGATTACTTTATGCAGCTGCTCTTTTATCTCAGAAGCAGTTTTTAGAGTGAACTCATACGCATGCTTGTCAAAAAAGACAACAGAGGTATTTCCAGATTCATCAGACACGTTATAGTGTGCTTTGAGCCTAATTAGATAGATTTCCAACCATATGTAATGAGAATAGAGTTAAATGTAAACCACAAATGAAAAGAAAGTAGGAAAAGTTAGCAAATTTACTTAAATTCAGTTTGAGTCATATCATTGGGGCATGAAGGGCAAACCATAATTCCTTTTGAATTAGGCCTATGTTTGGTTCCACATCTGATACAACCCTCATATGTCCAGCCTGGATTAGTCTCTAATTTCTCTATTACACACTCTATAATAAATGGATCACCCTAATAATAATAAAAAAAAGGTAACATGTCATTAAAAATGAAACTTTATCCATGACCATTCACATAGGTTTATGAGGTCACCACTTTCATTGTGTCGATGTCAGAAATCATAATCTTCTTAGTGGATCTCAACATAGAGTCTGCAGAGAGTTGTGTAGTTTGAATTGGTATAACTTGGCTGAAGCAAGAGTTGTTTGGAGATGAGCTTTCCTTGGCACTGGAAAACAAAAAAGAGTTGATGCAAACACTGTAATGTAACTGACATGTTGATAAACGGATAAAGGGTTAAAGAAATGGTGCTTGTAATAAATTTCATGCTACTGGTCACTTTTTGCTAAACCTGTCGATCAAATCTGAAACTTCCTTAATATTTGGATTCATCCACACTTTTGTTGCATTGAAGGATGAACCAATTTGGACCTCCTCTGCACAGGAAAAAATAAATTAGTTTCTCATGTCAAAAAGGCAAAGGTAAGAGTGTGTTGAAAATTTCTTACTGTTGTCTATAGTAAGTCGGCACAGTTGAATGACAAACACTAATGGAAACCTTTCATTGTCAAGATAGCTATAATAGGTATTTGAGGCACACTCTCCAAGAAGCACACATATAATACTTGTGCCACTGCAAAAGAAATAAGTTAGGAACAGCTTCTTAGGTCATGCAGAATAAAAGACATGCACCCATTAAAAAAATATTCTTACTTTTGATCTGCCAATGTTAAAGTCAGCTTGTTTTGGAATCCATTTTCGGTCCTGTACTCTTCAAGCTTTCCTATGGACTTTAACACTCCAATAACATCTGTATAAAGGCAGAGAAGTATGGAGGAGAAAGTAATGTCATATTTAAAGGAATATTACAGAAATGAAGGTTGTAAAGAAGATAACTCGTGGGCACACATCTCATGTCATTTTTAAAAACAAATTCCTTGAAGATATTGTTTGAACAAATTACCAATCAAGTATTCAGGTGCAATCTCTTGCTCAAGGCAAACACTAATAGGCATAAAAGAGAAAGAGTTCCATGGTATGTTTGCTTTCTCTTCATCTATGAAAGTGTTTGCATTAAAAATGATCTTGTAAGTGTGATTTGTTGCTTTGTACTGGTTATTCTCTACTACATTGAAATTGGCTATGAATACAGTACTTCCCTCAACAGCCCTATCTCTGAAACGTTCAAGAAGAGGCTTTTGTGTAACACTTGCTTGTATCCTCTCACCCTAACAAACGGAGAAAATTAGATAAGTATGATATGTTGAACAACACATGTAACTAAGCCAAGGGATATGATCTACTAATGTAGAAATTTTGAAAATAGTTAGAAAATGTAATACCTCTTCATCAATGAGAATCATGTTGATACAAAATACCTCTAAAGGCTTGTTTTTAGGAGTAACATTCCATTTCCTTACAACCCTTACAACAATGATCCACGTCTCCTTGAAAGCATGAAGTTCTCTGATCAAATGGCCTTTTCTTGGTGCCATTCCAACAGCCGAAGAGGAGGTGGTTGGACAGTGTAGAAGCAAATACTTTTTGGTTTGAAAGTATGGGATGGTGATACAAAATGAAATCAGTTAGGGGGAATAAATAGAGGCATGTAGGAGGACACAATAGGAAGTTCACATTAGACACTACATGAATTCAGATTGGCGGGAACCAAAAAAGAAGCCACCTACAGCAAGTTCTCACGTGAAGATGTGAGCTATATGTACGTACAGTGGAATTTAATGCTTTACAGAAGGTACAGCTTATGAGTGACAAGTAAAAGACTATCCCATGCAAGGAGTAAACAGCTAATAAGGACTGGTTTAAGTGTCTTAAGTAGGCAATAGCCTTATGATATCGGGAAACAAAGAAGACAGGATGTAACATGAAGAGTACATCGCACAATGCTCTATGTGTCCTACAATACCTACTCTTGCAAGAAACACGTCCAATCATACTTAATAAACAAAGCAACTTTTATTAATAGATTGCCTTTTCATGTATCCTCACCTTATTTTGCACATTGTTATCTATCAGTCAAAACATATTTCACAATGTTTGGAAAAGTGACTCATAAAATGACGGTTTCATGAACATGGTTGAAACGTACTAATATAATAAGGAACTCCACATCATGATTTACAAAAATCAACAATCAACTATTTTATCATGATTTACAAAGCAAGAAACCATACCTCATCATATTAAAAGTAAGCAAGATCTAGATATAACAGACTTAGAACTAATAGCCATGCCTCATCATATTTGGAAAAGTAAAAAAAATAAAAAAGAATAAAAAAATTTATCAATGCATTGAGTTGTTATGGCTGCAAACATGATTTTGTCCAGAGTTCGTCCTATTATAGTAGGTGATAGAAAACTAAAAGGGTACTCTTAAAATGATCTGCCCTTTAAATTGCTGCAACTTTCTAAGTTGGCAGTAGGATGAATTATTTCAAAATAAAGTTGGAGTATCCCTTTAGTAGATTATATTCAAGCAAGAGAACTCAAATAATTTAACAAACTCTAAACTCTTAACTTTTTAATGTTTGCATATATCTAATTATTCTATAAATTTGATACTGGAAAAATAAGGAAACTCTTGAGTGATATCGAATATGAAAATAAATACAATTGATACACCAAACATATTACAGTTGTTGGCCAAAAATATTAAAAGTGCAACAGCAACATAGTAGCTACTCTAGTCCTAAGTAAAGAAAAGAAACCATGATAACTGGATGCGGACTTCCATGCACAATGCTCAAGGTGTCCTTCCATGTCTTCATCCTAAAAAAAATATCAGTGGAAGTAACAGACACAATAAAAGTTTTTTAGGAAACAAAAGGAAGATACTACTGTGCAACAGACGAAAAATGTCAAGCTTTATAATCCAAGAATTTACTGTGACAGTATAAGATCATGGATTTAGTCGGTATATTGTACCTAAGATTCACACTCTTAACATTGCTTCAGTATAGTGATTCAGATACTTTTAAGCATACTGACTTAAGATTGAACGGTGGTTGTTAGTGAATGTTGGATAAATATAGATGGTTATAGATGATAAGGCAATTGTACGTAGGCAGTAAGACTTTTGTTTAAAGAGGATGAGATAGGATAGTTCGAACACATAAACGAATCTTCATCATCCAGCCCTCTCTGATTAAACAAAAACTAATGAGCAAGCCAATAAAAGCACGCGAATGGCTAGTCTGCAGCATCCAAGTTGGCAAGAGCCTAAAAGGATCCTTCACTAAAGGGGAATAGGTGATCCTTCACTAAAGGGGAATACACATGTGAATCTGACATAATACATCTATCTCAAAAATAGACATTTTTATTATCCTAAACTATCGCACCTAAGATTGGTCAGAAGCAAAAGAACACTTAATGGGATAAATAGGACATTTAATGGAATAAATTACATAGGATAAAGTGCTGGCTTAAGTTAAAATGCTTGAGCAAATAGAATAAGACAGGAATTTTACCTCAAGGATGCTAAAAACTGGAATTGTTTTGCTGGATAGAATTCCAAAATCTAGAGGCTCTTACTTTAGCAAATCTCTCCGGAATCTGACCCGTAAGCATGTTATTGAACCTGAAAGTCCATTCACTTGAAGAAACAGAGTATCGAGGTTCTGAAGTTTGCCGAGTTTCGATGGTATCTCGCCAGTCAATCTGTAGTTCACAGCGTCAAATCTGACGAGTTGCGACAAGTTTCCAATCTTAGGCGGTATGCCGCGCGTGTAAGTGTTGAAGTATCCAACATAAAG